CCGACGCGGGGGTGGCAAGCCGCGCGCGCGCCGCCCAGTCAGCAACGTGGAGTCGTGCCATGGTTTGACATGGACGGCATTTTCCGTTTTCGTTTCGTTTTCGCTCTCCTTTTGTTTTGTTTTTCGTTTTGTGTTTCGTTTTGTTTTCGCTCTCATTTTGTTTTCGTTTTGTTGTTCGTTGTGTTCGTTCCGCAAACGGTCCAGGAACTCGCCCAAGCACCGCTCAGGTCGAGCCCTGGGCAATGCGGTGAGGGCATTGAGCAAGGAACCGTTGGACAAGGGAGCCAGGGTCTGGGAGCCCGTGGAACTCCCATCGTGGGTCGGCCGTGGATATCATCACCGCTCTCATGAGATAAGGAATGATGAGGAGGAGGAGGAGGATGAGGAGGAGGGGGAGTGGGGGGAGGAGGAGGAGGAGGAGAGGGGAGGAGGAGGAGGAGGGGAGGAGAGGAGGAGGAGGGAGGAGAGGAGGAGGAGGAGGAGGAGGAGAGAGGAGGAGGAGGAGGAGGAGGAGGAGGAGGAGGCCCCCTGGGCACATTCCTTAACCAACGCCCCCACCGCATGGAGGCCGCGCAGGGCCCCTGAAGACGTGGTCGTGCAGCGCTCGGGCGCGGCCGCGCGAGAATCGCGACCAACGTCAGCCGAAGTGGTGATCCGGGTGTCGGAAACAACTGGTGAGACGAGGCCAGGGCGAGGAGGAGGAGGAGGACGAGGAGGAGGAGGAGGACGAGGAGGACGAGGATAACATCGGATGAGGATACATCGAGAACCTCTGAGACCTTGCGGTTCTGGGGGATGTATCGGGCGCCGCGGCCTTCTCAGACCGCTCCGGGACGCTGTGGGAGCGTCTCGGAACACTCCGGAACGGATTTCTCCTCGTCCTAGCCCCGTCCGAAATGGAGCAAGGGTCACGCACGCGTAACATACGGTTCGAGCTCCGCCCCCCTCACCCCCGAATGCAGTGTTGCGGAGTTGGTTTCGGACAGTCCTGGCTTGAGTGCCCGAGCGGTCTTGCGAAAACGTGCCAACTGTGAATTGGGAGAGGGGGGGAGTGTTGCTTATTCAGTAATATGAAACTTCGCTGCAACTCGAACGTAGCCACCTGCCTGCCTAGTACTCGTCTGTAATTTCATCGGCACCCTCTCGCGCAAGCATGCTCTCAACTCCTCATCAGACCTTCTGTGGACCAGAAAATAAACGACACCACCCCACCTACGGCCCCTCTGGCCGTAGAGTATACCAAGACATCTGGCGTGGGCTTTTGCATGGTATACGCTGCGGCCCCCGATGGGCCGTAGCACAACACGGAGGGCCGTAGGTGGGGTGGTGTCGTTTGTCTTTTGGTCGATTCTGTGAGATACGCGTGGCCTCGGCGATGGTGCCAGCTCTTCTGCAGACCGATCCGCCGATCGGATAGGAGTCCCCAGAGAGGGGGAATGAGGAGAAGGAGGAGGAGGAGGAACAACAAGGAGGAGAAGGAGGAGGAGGAGGAGGAGGACGAGGAGGAGGAGGAGGAGGAGGAGGAGAAGGAGGAGGAGGAGGAAGAGGAGGAGAAGGAGGAGGAGGAGGAAGAAGCCACAAAAGAGTATCACGCAGGCGCACTTTTCACTTTTCCGGGATGGCCAGCGAAGGCCTCCCCACACACGCGCGGCATCCAACGTCGGAAAAATGCGTGGTCTACCTGTGCCTCAGGGACTCCGCCAGCCCCTCTTGCAGGAGGTGTGCGTCAGCAGACTGACCTCTCCTCCTCGTCCTCGTCCTCGTCCTCCTTCTCCTCCTCCCTAGAGCCTAGAACCCATAATGCACCCCACCCCCTTCCTTCCTCCTCCTCCTTCCTCCTCTCCTCCCTCCTTATTGTCTTCTCCTCCTACCCCCCCCCCCCCCCCCTCCCCCTCCCCCCCCCTCCCCCCCCTCCCCCCCTCCCCCTCCCCCCTCCTCCTCCTCCTCCTCCTCCTCCTCCTCCTCCTCCTCCTCCTCCTCCCCCTCCTTTCTTCCCACAGCCCTGAGGACCAACGTCTGAGGTGTCCACACATGCATACGTCAGCGGTGAGAATGGCGGCGAGTATAGCGGGGGACGAGGAGAGCAGCAATGGCCGGCATCAACCCGACTCGCAATACAGATCGAGCGGGGCGTAAAGATGGGCAACTGACGCCTCTAGCCATGCATCCCCAGGAGGCGTGGCGGCACAGCGTTGTGAGGCTGCCTGCGTGATGACAGCAGCTACGTAGAACTCTACCTGGCTGCTGTCAGGAGGGGCCAGGGTCGGCACGGCATTCATGCACAGGCACTGACGGTCCCCAATGGGCACACAGCTCGACGTGATTGTCGGAGACGTTGCCTGCAGGGAACACAGGAACCTGACCTCGGGGACTTTCCAAATACAGGGCAAGTTGGCTTGCGGAGCAGGGGGGTTTAAAATGAGCAAGGTCGCCAGGCCCGAGGACGCCGCGCACAGCGCCAGCGTCAGTGCCGCCCGAAAGCACGCACTGTCGAGCTCCAGCTGCCTCCACTCCGAGGGCGACCTGGCTGAAATCCCCCATGGCTCATCGCAGCTCCTTCAAGGCCTGCTTTCTCCACCCTTGGCTTTGCAGCGGGGGGCAGGGTCCCACGAGGAAAGAAGAAGGTCTGCGAAGAGACCGACAACGCGCCCATCTAGAATAAGATTAGTAATGAACAACAGCTCCCTGTGAAATCCCTCGATGGAATTCTGGAAAAGCTCGAGGATATCGAGTGACAGAACAAAAACATTCATGCCCGCCATGGCACTGGACTTCTCCGCTCTATCCTGGATGTCGCCTTGACTCCTGGGAGCTGCACGGAGGATCATAATGTACTTAATGCCAGGGGCCGCGGGCAGGTGGACCGCCGCCTGAGTGGGCATCTCTTCCTGGATACACACGGGTTGGCAAGATATTCTCGGCATGCTAGTGGGGGGGGGCCCTTGGAGGCAGCCGCCCCCCTCAGCCTAGGGCCTGTCGTGAGGACAGGCGGCAGCTGCGCTGACTCCGCATAGTGGCCTTTCTCGCGGAGCGTGCGTGCTAGCTCCGCGTCCTCCGCCTTAGCCAGCATCACCTTTCCGGGGCTCAGCGGGGGGATGACGGCCACGAGGTCAGCCAAGCACTTCGATGAGCCATGCCGAACGTGTTTGAGCAATCTGAGGTGCGTGTGGAAGTTGAGACCGCATTCCATGCACACGGTGCCTGAAACGCAGCTGGGGGCGGGGTCTAGGTGGGGGTGGCACTTCGAGCGATGGGAGGCCCATGCGCCCTTGGTGGCCAGCACCGCCCCGCAATCCAGGCAGGGATACAAGGCAAGAGCCGACGGCGGACGCAGAAACGACGGGAGCGCAAGACCCTTGGCGATGCAACACCTCCGCCACCCGTCCTTGAATTCTTCGTGACGCTGATCGTCCAAAAACTTGGCCCTAGCAGCCGATTCCGCTTGCTTGCAGATTCGCTTCCAAAACTTTTTGCTGCTTGACCTCAGGGGCCACAACCGCCGCGCAGGGGGCCCTGAAGGCAAGAACTCTCTGGCTAGATTCACATGTCTGCTGAGCCACAACAAGTCATCGCAACAATGCGGACCATGATTCGGGCACTGCTGCTAACTCGTCGAGGATCGCCAGCAGACAAGCAGGCGCCGATTTGAGAAGCCTGGGAAGAAAACGCAGCCGCCTGAGCCTCAACACCAGCTCGACGGGCATGAGCTCACATGTGACAAAGACTCTGTGGTCTGCAGCTGCCTTGCCTGAACTAGAGTCGTATCCCAGACCAGCCGCCAACCTAAACGGGCTCAAATAGTTGTGCGCCAGGGTCGCCATCTGTTTGACGTTTAACTTGTGCCGCGTGAGGGCATTAAACAGAAGGTGCGACGTGCACAAAGAAGTAACATAAAGTAACCTGGCTTTTAAACTGACTTGCTTCCTGGGGAAAGCCGTGCGCCTCAGTACCCCGAGAGGACGTCGCTGCTGGTGGCATCGGTGCGCCAGCTCGGGTCCCAGAGAAATTTGATGGCCCTGATAACTTCCCAAGTGCTTGTAGGTTCTAGTGAGGCACAGGGAGACACCTAAGGAAGGGACGAGAAGACCAGTGGCGGCCAAGGCCGCACACTCCCCTCGGGCCTTCCTGGAGCTGTGCCGCTGAAGAAGGCCATGAGCTCCGTCTTGCCCGCCTTCCAGTTCATGGTGAACCCCCTAGACTTGGTTTCTTCGTACATAATCGTGACGAGGGAGATGGCCGCCTCCTTCCAGAGCCTACGTCTAACAGCTCGATGCCGTTGACGAGGTGGTCCATGAAGGCAGGATCCCACACATATTCCTCTACATGTTCGTGCTCCCGACCTCTGAAAATCCTCTGAGACGGGTCCACATCCCTAGTCTTTTGAAGATGCCCCAGAGCTCCTAATCTACTGCTGACCGCGATTATGATTGGGCCGAAGGCTATGATGAACAGGAGGTCCGCTAGTGGCATGCCTGGCCTCGTACCTAGGCGGGGGGAAACAACCCTGGTGCTCCCCCGTACTTGGAACCAGTTGCACTCCATCACGTCAACCACTGCTTCCAGGAGGTGCTTATTCGCAAGTCCGTCCAGAGCGCCAGGCTTGGCGACTAGGGCATGGCATAGTGGCTCTAGACAACTTGGTATCCCCAAGTCCGCCAACGTGTTTTGAATGTCCTCGCTGTTCTGGGCCATTCTGGCAACGAGCCCTCGGATGACCGAATAGAATGCCGCCTTTAGATCAGTGTACAACGACAGGTACGTGCACTTCCTAGCCGCGGCTACCATCATGGCCGACCGAAGATGCAAGGATGCAGTGTCAGTGCCACGCTGAGGGAGAGCTCCCTGCTGGACCACCGACAGCATGTGCATCGATGCATCTAGCAATTTGCTTCTGAGGAAGGCATGGTGCAACGTCGCCGTGTGACATCCTAGCAGGATGCCTCTGTAGTGTTCCAGGGGTTCGGGGGACCCAGATTTGTGTAGATCACATTGCCAACCTCATTTGAACAGCAGGGGCTCCCTGGACGCCATGTCTATCTTCACGAACAACGGCAACAAGATCTGCGTGAATTCTTGTGGAGCGACCTGGAAAAGATCGTTGCTGAGTCCGTCAGGTCCAGCTCCTCTTCTCTTGGCTGCCTTCATGATGTCGTGCTTGAGCCTGCGAAAGGGGGTGATCATGTCCAACTCCCTGGGGTATACGTTACCACGTTCGGGGAGGGCGTTGTATCTTTCCACCAGTTCTTCCCAGCTGAGTGTCTGACCGTTCTCAACAACAGCAAAATAGTCAGTGAGGGCCTCCGAGAGATCTCCAGATGTGGCCAGAACCTCGCCCTGAGGACCTCGTCGGATTCTCAGCCCCTCGACCTGAAACCTGGAACGCTTTCCCCCAAACCTTTGCAGCTGGTATAGTACCTTCCATTCCACTCGACTCTCGTTTGAGGACCTGGCGCTGCTCAACTGCTGCGCGAGGTCGTCTAACAGCATGTTGCGGGAGTGCTGCAAGGCCCTTCTCAAGGCCGGCTTCGACTTGACCAGAAACTCAAGCATGTGCGCAGCTAGCTCGCTTGCCGTCAACATCTGAGTCTCCCAATCGGCGAAAGCCTGACAAAGCTCCGAAACCAAGAAGTCCAGCTCTAGATCGGCGATGTTCCGGGGGGCCCCCGCCTCAAGCGACGCGGCGACCAGCCACCTGACACCACCAGAGTCATGCTTGCCCCAGAGACGCCATGCCTGTCGCACTTGCCTTCTGAAGGTAATTACTCCAAGAAGATCCTCCGATGCATGCGGCTTGATCGGGGTACGCGCGGGTTTAGGGAAGCAGGTTTGGGCACCCACGTACATGCATTGAATAATGTCGTGCAAGTGCTGATTCATGTCGACCTGGTGGGGCACCGTGGGGAAAGCTGCCGAGTGCATCCTGGAGACTGCTGCCTTATCAGGGTCCTGGGTGCCCAAAACGTCGTAGCCGCTCTGCCCTTGCGCTGCCTTGGTGGAGCCCTGGGACTCGAAGCGCATGAAGACAGGACAAGGTTCCTTGCCAGTGCAGCAGGAATCTATGTCATACCGAACTTGGTGTTGGTCCAATGCGGGAATCATGCTCTGCTCAACCGCAATGTCGTCTATTCTATGTGGTGTTTCAGACTTAGACGAGACGAACGTGTAGGAGTCCTGGCTGAGGGAGGGGACTAGTGTGTTGGCGGCGGCCAAACCCGTCTCCAAGAGCATGCCGTGGAACAGTCCGCCCGATTCGTCCTCGTCCTGCCTGAATCCTTCACTTCTCACTGCGTCAGACACGATGCTGCCGAGTCTGGCATTCGCGTCCAGGAAAGCCAGCTGGACTTTCCATTTGCGGCAGATCCCAATGAGGTCCCGCCACCACTGTTTCCTCTGCTGCGAGGTATACTCGTCTCCGTTGTGCAACGCATGGGCTACCAGGATGACCTCCCTAAAGAGTGAGGCACAACAGCCAACCACCAAGTGCCTCTGGGCAGCGTACAGCGGCCTAAAATGTTTCTGTTCAAAGTATAGATCTTCACCCCCTCGCCGCCCGTAGGGTAGGTGCAAAGAGACCCAGAGTTCCACGCCCAAGTTCTTGCCACCGTCAGATCCCGAAGAAAACACAAAGTAACCAGCAGAGCACCTTTCCCCCGACGGATTTCGCGTCTCCTGCACCCCGACGATGTGGCAATGTTCCTGAGCAAACTGCACTCTGAGAACCTCACCCGACGTTTTGGCGCGTCTTGCCGCCGTGGCCTCCGCATCCCTACCTGTCTTGACGTTGAAGGTGGCGAGCCTCAAGCTGATGCTGAACTGACAGGACTTGGGGACAGACTTCTGCGAGGGTTGGGACCCAACAGTATCCCTTAGCGTCTCCGCCGACACTTGAGGGCGCCCAGGATACCGAAAGGTGTTGTCAGGGCCTGTTGGATAAGCTTCTCGTGTGGCCACAGGTGCCTCCTTAAGCCACCGCCACTCAAGGTCATTCGTGTGCTTGAGGGCCTCGCGCAAGGCCGGCGGGGGTGAGCGCCCAACCGCTCGGTCCGATCGTGCTAAACTGTCTGCCAACTCATTCCATGGATGTCCAGAGAGACCGCATACATGCAAAAGCAGAGTGCCGTGCCTCCTGCGCGCACACTGATATACATGGTATGTAAGCCAGGCCAGGTGCAGGTTCTCCGACGGGACCTCCAAACCCAAGGATATGTTGACAGCCAACTGGTTATCGCAAAAAATGACCAGAGCTGGGGGGGGGGGGGGAGTGCACCGTGTTCGGCCCAAAGAAACCCAAGATCCAGAGTGAACTCCATAATATCCCCATGAGCTCGATAGTCGTGCTAGTGATATCGTCCTTTTCGAACTGCATTGCTGTGGATTCCCATGCGCGCATTTTTTGCCACCCGAGGAAGCTCACCGTGTCATCAGGCGAGATCGCGACAACAGCGAAGGCCCAGGCTGAGTCCCTGAGCGTCTTTCTGTACGAGGCGTCGACATAGATATGTACTGACCGTGCTCTATGTGCCCCGCGCGCTGAGATATCCAGAGCAAACTTGGCAGCGTGATGTAAGGGGATGTCTCCAAAATGGTCATTGCAAAGCTCAAACCAGTTGATGTTCTGAAGTAAAACCTGATATATCTTGTCCGCCTCCTGAAAGCCACAGTGACCACTGCCATTGCTCTCAGGATTCTGGACAAGTAAAGGGAACAGGTGCAGGGAAGTAGTATACCCACCATCCTCCCTCAAGGCCAGCACACTCCCCCATGCAACTGCTTCGAGCTGCTCCCTGGATGGGGCGGGGTGCGACGGCGGTGGAGGGGGGTCAGGCACAACCGCAACTGCAATTGACGTTTGATTGGCCTCGTGCCCTAGCTCCTCACGCACAGCATGCTGTAATTCACGAGGACGAGGCAGAAAACAAGATGTTCCTTCGAGGTCTTGCCCCGCAAGCGATACCTCGTTCGGCCGTTGGGCCGAGTGGAAGATGACGATGAGTCCTCAGTGGCATCACCTGAAGTGGCGGCCGAGGAGGTGGTATTACCTGTCTGCGAATTCCCAAGACCACAACCCTTGGACGATATATCCAAGACAGGGGCCGACCTAAGAATCGGCCTAGTGAAACAGGTCCGAGAAAGCGCACCCCTGGCATGTCGGACAATTATCGGTGCATGCGCCTCAAAGTGCCTCACTTCGACTGGGCCCCACGAGACCCTGCTAGGCGTTACAAGTTGGACCCGTCTTCCAGCTCGTAACCCTGGCACTGCATCTTCTTGGGGGGGGACCTGTTGGGCGAGTCTCCCATGTCCTTCTCTTTGTCTTCCTCCTCTAGCGGTCGAGTCCTCGAAGCCGCAGGAGGTGCATCCGCTGCTGCTGCCGCTGGCGCTGCCGTCGGTCCCGGCGAGGCCGCTGCCTGCGTATGAGATGCCGACGATGCTGCCGTTGAAGATGCTGCGGCCGCCGATGCTGCTGCTGCCCATGCAGGAGGGAACAGCGCCGCGGGCGCTGGCTGCGGAGGGTCCACTGGCGACCCAGGCGACCTCTGCGCCGGCGGTGGTGTGGGGGAGCGCTGCGTCTGACTGGTCAAGTCGGTGGAGGCTCCCTGGATGTGCTGCAAGAGGTGCACTGGCCCTGGGATCATTTCCTCCGTCACCATTGGCTGCGTCGCAATCAGTAGCTCTGGATCGATCGGCATGACCTCCTCCTTGGGCTCGCTCCTCTGCAGCTCTGCTGTCACCCTGCACACGCCTTTTACCCTCGGGGTGTCTGGGACTGCCTTCTCCTCGGCCTGGGTCCTCGTCTCGGCTGAGACGCCAATGCCGGGGGCCCTGGCTGGCGTCGGCGATGCCGACTGTCTCTTCGGTGGCGGTGTCTTTGCCACGGGGGCCTCTGGCAAGTTCGCACTGCGCTGTGTAGGCGCCCTCGGCCCCGTGGCTGGCGCTGCGCCAGGGGGGGGCTGCGCCAAAATCTGGCGCTGTCGGGGCGGCGTCTCTCGGTGTGCGCTCTGGCGCCAACCCCTGAAGGTCAGGGGGGCTCGCGCTGGGGATCGAAAGTCCCGAGATCACCGCCCGCTGTGCCTTCTGAATCGTCTGCGCGTCCATGAGCACATCATCTGCCGTTGCGCCGATGCCGACTCCCAAAACCCTGGCCAGGGCGAAGGCGTGGAAGTTCTGGCCCGTCTGCATCCTCGAGAGGTGCTCCTGGATGGCCTGCTGCTGGGCCTCTACGGCTTTCATCTGCTCCGTCATCGCAGTGATGGCCGCTGCCGTTGGGCCATCTTGCCCCTCCGCCCGCGGGCCTCTGTGCCAGGCGGTGCGCGGGCTGGCGGGCTCTGTAGCCATCGGCGCCGTTGCTGCTGTGGCTGGCTGGCTGCGCGCCGCCCCCGAAGCTGCCCTCGGGGCCGCCTTCTGGGGTGGCTGGTGTGCATGCATCTGCGCCAGGGGCTGGTTGGGCGTTGGTGGCGGCGGCGGCGGCGGCACTCTGCTGGCTATCGCCTCCGCCGCGGCCTTGGCTGACTGAGCCTTTGCCTCTGCCTGTGCAGCCGCCCTCTCAGCCGCCGCTTGCACCCATGGCCTCTGGGCGCTGCTGGCTGCCCTGAGACCCATGTTCGCTTCCTCCTGGCGGGGCCATCAACCAGTCCTCATCATGATCTGGTGCGTCCTCCGCTTCTCGGAGCTGCTGGATGGAGTTCTGCAGCTTCTGCACCATCAGGCAGAGCGTCGCCTCCTTGTCTAACAGCTCCTCGACCTTAGCTCGGATCTTGCCGAGCCTTTCCTTGGCGCTGATGAGCTGGGCCTTCAACTCATGCAACTGATTCTCTGAGCCCTTGCAGGCGCTCATCATGTATTTGAGCACTCCGATGTCGAACTCCAGGGCGGGATCCTCCTTCCCTGCGTCGCGGACCGCGACGAGGAGATTGGCGAACTTCTGGAGCTTCGACTGGGCCTTTGACTTGTATATCTTCAGCTCGTCCGCCTCGGGCGGCGGCGGCTCCCACACCGTGATGTTGGCGATCGCCTCATCAGGTGCTGCTACTGGAATCTGCGCGATCAGCTCCCTAATGCTGGCGGGCTTCTTCTGGTCCCTCTCTCTGCTGGCCGAACGTCTGGTGGGATCGGGGCGAGGAGCCCACACGTTGCCGCAAGAGCATGTCCACTGAGAGTTAGGATTCCTTGTCTCGCACTGCCTGCATGTCCAAATGCCTCCCCCCATCGCGCTGTGGTGCGATTCGAGGACACGCTTGGCCTGGAACACGCTGAGGAGAAGGCGAGCTCGCCCTCGCTGTGCCCGCTGCCTCTTGTGCCAGGCCGGCTCGGGGGAGCCCTTGCGGCGTCCCGAGCGCGCCGTGGGTCGCGCGCGCCCTCTAATGCTCAGCCGCGGGCCTGGCCGCGGGAGCTTTCACGAGGAAATGTCGTGAGGGGGGCGCGGCGCCTGAGCCCTGTGCTCCGCCAAAATGGCCTGAGCCCCAGTGGCTTCCTCCTCCTCCTCCTCCTCCTCCTCCTCCTCCTCCTCCTCCTCCTCCCTCCTCCTCCTCCTTCCCACCTCCTCTCCTCCTCCTCCTCCTCCTCCTCCTCCTCCTCCTCCTCCTCCTCCTCCTCCTCCTCTCTGTAGCCGCTTTGGCCCAAGATTGTTGACGTGAGAGTTATCCAGCCCCAAGGCAAGACACGGAAGCTGCTGAGCCGTAGCAAGCTAGCACATCTCTTCAGGTGCCTGATCGCCACAGGTAGCCTACTCTCGTTTCTCTGGTGGTGCCCACCCCGTGGGCTGGACCACCCATGGGGAAAAGAGGACGCCAGCAATTCGGCACGGCGATGTGGCCATTGTTGAAGTCGCGAGCCCCGTGGCATCAGCAGCAAGGATGGAAGACGCGGGGTACTGAGGTGGCCTGCTGTGCGACTTACCTGCAACGTGAACAACAAGAAGGGTCTGCCCAGCCGGGCATGAGCTGATTTCGCCGGCGCTGGTTTCGCACCTGGTTTCGCCGGCGGCTAGTTCTGCCAGCGGCTGGTTTCGCCAGCGCTGCTTTCGCCGGCGCTGGTTTCGCCGACGCCGTCGTCGCCGTGGGCGGGCGGACCCTAGCGTGCGGGTCGGGTCGGGTCGGGTGGGCGGACCCTGACGGGCATGTCGGGTCGGACGGGCGGGACAATAAATTGTGGGACACGCTCGACCGAGCACGCGCGATGACAGGCGTGTCGGGTCGGGCGGGCGGACCCTAGCGGGCGGGTCGGGTCGGGCCGGTGGACGGACCCTTCGGCGGGTCGTGTCGGCGGGCGGGACATTCAAGTGTGGGGCGCGCTCGACCGAGCACAGCGCGAACCCCAGCGTGCCGGTCGGGTCGGGCGGGCG